CGTTTTAACGAGTGGCCGAGAATCGCCATATGTGTTACTGACAGACGGGATCATTGAAAAATAGAGGCTGCTGTTTGACTGTCAAACCATTACGGACCGTCTGTGCGGGTGTCTGTGTCTGTGCCTACATAGTATTGTTGGTTACTGGACGGCCCGGTTTGTGCATCAATATATCGGGTTTGTGGTTCGTCCCCAAATACTGCGAAGAGTTGACACTATGACCAGTGGTGCTCAGCACAACATGCTTATATTCATCGGTTAAATCTCTCGTTATTTTCTTATGTTTTAAATTTATATATTGCTGTAGATCACTGTACAAAAGTATTAAAATCCCAATTCGTAACAGGATGAACTGTAAATTGGGTTAACGTATCACGCCATCGTTAAATATCGGCCATGCTGTATGTCACTATTTGGGACTATAGATATTTCAGCTATCTGCTAATGTGTACTGTGTTGTCGGATTTACCGTCCATGTCTACGCTCCACGCTGCTGAACCGGTGTTTCACTGTACAGCTCTGGGATGTATATAGAGGAGTACAACATGCGTTATCATGCTATGCACATCACTAATTGCACTGCCAATACACGTGATCGCTCGGTGTCTGGGATCTAAAGTGTATTGTGAACAATGATGATGAAAATAGGTGATGATGAAAACAGTGTACTTGACTGGTAAGTACATGTTTCTTTACAAAAGTGAAAAACAACATGTAATTGTGCACGTCAATTCTCCCACATGTACATAGTTGAATACCATATGGTTTATGAACATACGAGGGGCGTTCAATAAGTTCTGCAACTTCAATATAAGACCAAGTCGCAGAATATCTTTTGAACTTTTATTTTTCAGTATAATCTTAATTCACCACAATACACTTATTCCATTTGTCTTTCAAGATTTTAATACCACTTTTATAGAAATCCGCAGATTGGCCCTCTAACCACGCCTCTGTGGCAGCCTTTATGTCCTCGTCATCCTGGAAGCGGCTTCCACGTAGGGCAGATTTCATTTGCCGCAACAGGAAATAGTCACTGGGGGCTGAGTCTGGGCTGTAGGGTGGTTGATTTAACTGTACAGCCCAGACATTGCTATTTTGCTATTCTGTGCCGAGAGTAGAAGGTAGCAACCATTTGATTTTCACGGGGGTTTCACAGGAAAATAAGTTACATATGCCTCATATTGTGCAACTGTTATTAACATGTGAAAAAAGAAGACAACAGCTACAGAACACACTCAATACATTTAATAAGTAATGTAACGACTGGAAACTAAATGTTAATATGGAAAAAAACTAAAGTAGTCATCTTTGGGTCAGGTCCAGCTGACAGGTGTAAAGACAAAGTTAGTTTCGGTCATTATCCGATAGACGGCATCCCTTTATACCGAAATAGATAAATGAATACATGTGTTAGATATATTGCTGAAGTCGGTATGAAAGCTACAATTTAAGCATATTGAAACGTGGCAGAAATTTACATTTACCACGAAACGTTTGATACAATTGTTGTCCCTATTTTACTCTATGGTTCTGAAATATGGGGATTTCTTAACACCGAAATAATCGAAAGGGTACATCTAAAATTTGTATAAATAGATGCAGGTATAAGACGGTCCACGCCTAACTTCATGGTATATGGCGAACTCGGTATATTTGATAATTGTGGTCTTACGTACATGTTTCATTGCCCTAAAAATTATTACAAACCGTACATTTTATTTCAACTTGACAATACCCTCTGCCTTCGGTTTATCCAGTCATGGTGAAGTGGTGAGGTCAGCTCTTCAAAAGGGAATTACTACAAGTATCTTAAAGACTACCCATCATTTAAATATTACTAACTCATGCCTCGAAATATTGCTCCAACTTTACTTTCTTTCTGTACATGTAATCATAAATACCAATAGAGATGGGTAGATGGACAGGTATACCTCGTGAAGATCGCTTATGCACACTGTGTGATACAAGTGCACTTGGGGACGAATTTCGCTACCTGTTCCGTTGTCAATCGCTGTTCAATAAACGAGGCATCTCGATTGATAAATAGTATGACGATAGCCAAAATATCTTTAAGTTTCCTAAAGTATTGAACACCAAACGCATATCTGCTATCAAGAAATTATCGAAGTTCATCGTTTTCCTGAATAGTCATTTTAGTGGAAGATAAATCCAGTGTTTATTCTACTTTACCAATTGCTAGATTATACTTGTCCGAGAAAATTAACAATACATTCAAAAATGTAAAATGATAGCCTACTTGGTTATTTACTGTTAAAGCATAACATATTTGTAAAACTATTTGTATCATCTGTAGAGTTCAATGTTTATCCGAAAAATATTCTCAACAACGTTACAGTTTATCCAAATGAATTAACTTAATCATTGTGTTTATGAACTTTTCATCTTGCTATGTCTTGTTATATATATAATTGACATGAATTGTATTGCTAATGTACCACCGCTGGTGGTCCCCTAGAGTGAACAAAGGTTGTTGTTAGTTGTTGTTGGACAACGGTTATGTTTTAAGCGAACTGTTAATCTCTGAGCTACTCAGGTGCGACCAATCAGTCTCTCAAAATATCCGCTCGCGGCTGTTCAAAGCGGCAATCAACAATTGAAGGCAATTCATTAACTGGATTAGGTACTGTCACCTTGTACTTAATTTACGTCCCATGGCGACATCACAGTTGAGCGACCCACAGAAGACAACAGTATAAAAAAAGTGAAACAGTGAACCATACGGAACTTTGGTGAATCCTGAATTATTTACTCTTTGCATTTGAGGCGACACCCCTCTAAATCCGGATTAAGCAAGAAACCTGTATGACGGATTCCGAAAATTTGCACGACGTCCAAGTAAGGGATGAGTGAAAACTCACTTGGTCACTGAATGAACCCATTCAGACAAACGTTGATGTGAATCGGCCCCGTCGAGCTTGGACCCGAAGCTCAAATGCATCCAATTAGTGTGGGAGAATAGTTACGCTATGGGAAATGTATGTTGCAAAGAAGTACCTAATCATTTATTATCAGGTCAGGATGAGCCAAGCTGGAAAAAAACCGATGGCTTGACGGCCTTTTCTACAAGTTGTATAAATTTGGAATTATTGGAAGACTATAGATAATTCTGCGTTTATCATACAACGCAGTGGAATCATGTGTTAGTGATGCTGGCCGAGTCACGCTCTTTATTTATGATTTACTGTATCAACTGATGGACTATGTCCATCGACTTAATCTTACATGGGGACAATGTCCCGGTATACTCCTTGCAGATGATACAACTTTATTAAGGAGTAGCCCCACGGGCTTGCAGAAACTACTTATTATAGCAGAAATCAACAGTCTTGATACTCTCAATTGGTGTCCGTTATTCGTTGACAATAATAAGTGAAACGCTCATTCGTTTGTATCCGTTAACATGCTTTTCCTTTGAACGTTAGCGTTGAATGAACAGTGTTGAAGTTCAAGAAACTAGAAAATAACAAGAAAATGTTCTAAGTTACAGTGTAAACAGTGAATTGGCTAAGTTGTTACAAATACAAAATTCTACAAATATTATATCATTTGAAGATAAATGATAGCTTCAACATTACTTTAGATGTACACACATTGTATAAATATGAATAAGCAGGTTAAAAACTTACATCTGTGTTCTGCAATAGTTCATGACATGTTTCTCCAACATGGAGACCTTTCAAACTGAAGGTGACAGTGGATGAGGTCACATGACTAATCCCATGATGCAACACAACTGATTATAAGTCACAAAAACTTTTGCCTGAACCTGGGATTGAACCCTGGACCTTTATGCTGCTAGTCCAGTGACATAACCAACAGATCATTGTTAAGGCTGATATCTGTACATGAAATTCATAACATTTTTGCATAACAGATTTGCAACATAAATTATACATTCTGCACTAACACACTCGGCCTCTTAAACAGACGGGCTGTTTAACACAAATATAACAAAACAGTGCAGAAATCACAAGCTTGTATATACAGACACACTGGGTTTTGACTGATGGCTAAATTTGACAAAATCACGACTTGCTGGATAACAGCAATATAAGCTTGCTGATCGGTCGACGAAATTCACCAGTTTGAGTTTTCAGTACAGCACTACTGACAAAACCCTTCTGATCAGGTTCAATAGACATAACACGAGCCATGGGCCACTGAAGTCTCGGTAAACTGTCATCAATTATCAGGACAATGTCATCCACTTGGATATTCCGTTTTGGGAACGTCCATTTTTGCCGTTGCTGCAGTGACACCAAATACTCCTTTCTCCATCTGGACCAAAAGACATTGGCCAAATATTGGATCCGTCTCCACCTTTTCCGCATGTATACATCATTCTTCTGGAATTGGCCAGGAGGTGGAACAGACACGCTTGTTTTCATCTGTAGGATATGATTTGGAGTAAGTGGACATGGGTCATCAGGACTGTCAGATACTGTGGTTAGTGGCCGAGAATTGACAATTGCCTCAACTTCGCACATTAAAGTTCGGAACGATTCATCATCCAAGCGTTCATTGAAATCGTGCAAGAGAGAAGTCAGGGTTTTTCGAACTGTTCTGATCATCCGTTCCCAGATGCCACCCATGTGACTGGCTGATGGAGGGTTAAAGTTCCATTTGTTGCTACTTTTCAACAAGTCGGATTTGATACTATCTTGATCCATTTCTGACACAGCCTTCTGTAGTTCTCGTGATGCGCCCGTGAAGTTGGTTCCATTGTCACACCATATCTCTGAGACTTGTCCTCTACGTGCTATGAAGCGTCTTAGAGCATGAATAAAAGAGTCAGTGTGAAGTGAATTTGCCGTTTCAATATGCACTGCTCGGCTAACTAAGCACGTGAAGGGTGCCCCATAGCGTTTTACGTACTTGCGTCCATCTTTGATAACGAAGGGTCCGTAAAAATCCACACCGGTGAAGGTAAAGGGTGGAGCAGGATTGACTCTCCTAGATTGCAAGTCAGCCATTTTCTAATCACATGTTGAACCACGCAGACGTCGGCAGGTAACACAGTGTGACAAGACGTTGCGGACAGCAGAGTTAGCCTTAATAATCCAGTAGGTTTCTCTCAGCATGGAAAGTACATGGTTACGTCCTGCATTGGCTAGCTTTATGTGCTGGTCTGTAATAATCAGTGACGTCACATGACTTCTGTAAGGAAGTATAACTGGGTGCTTCATCTCCTTGGGGATATTAGCTCTGCCAATGCGACCCCCGACTTTGAGAATTCCACTTTCAATGAATGGGTCAAGTTTATACACTGAACTTGTCCTTGGAACTCGGCCTCGTGTACTTTCACATCCTTGAAGCAGTTCAAACTCTTTGTTGAAGTGTATTTTCTGCACAAATTGAAGAATACTCTTCTCTGCTCGACTGAGGTCCTCCACAGAAAGCGATCTGTTGCTTTTAGCATGCTTCTTATTTTTTGTATTTATGCTCATCGCTCCGTGACTTTAGTGAGTCAAACAATCTGTGATATATGGCTACAACACGCTTCAGACGATACCAGCTGGAGTAATGTTCCAACAATTTATTCACAGTGTTGTGAGAGCAGTCATCCTGTGTTGCATCGGTTGCTGTGACTGTTTCTTCAAGCATCTTCTCATCATGGATAAGATGTGGCTGTACTGGCCATTCTGATTCTGAAGAAGAAAGAAATTTGGGCCCATGAAACCAGTTCATACAGGTAAGCAGATGTGATGCAGATACACCTCTGGATGCAACATCAGCCGGATTGCTTTTTGAATCTACATACTTCCACTGAGTAGGTTCTGAAAAGTCTCTGATTTGCTTGACACGGTTGGCAACGAAGATTGGAAACCTCTTTGTTTCATTGCTGATATAGTGTAACACCGTCGTTGAGTCTGTGTGGTAAGTGACACTTTCAGGTGTAGTCTCCAGTTCCTTCATTAACAGTTTTCCGATGTGAATAGACACGGTGGCTGCAGTTAATTCCAACCTGGGAACAGTGATAGTTTTCACTGGAGCAAGCCTAGACTTTCCAATCAAGAAAGCTGTGTGAATACCGCCTTCATCGTTAGACATACGCAGATATGCTACACAACCGTATCCAACAGTGCTTGCATCGGAGAATACATGTAGTTGAACAGAAACAACATGTCCAAAATCAGCAGGTTTGAGACATCTGTCAATCTGTAGTGTATTCAAATGGTGAAGCTCTTCTATCCACTGCTCCCATGATGCCTTGTATTCCACGGGTATGTCATCATCCCATCCGAGCTGCTTGTTGATGCACAGATCCCGTAAAATCTTCTTGGCTGGTAACAAAACCGGTGCAACAATTCCTAAAGGATCGTAGAGTGACGACATCGTAGACAATAGTCCTCTTCGTGTGAATGGCTTACTATTCAGATGAACTGAGAATCCAAAAACATCACTGTTGATATGCCACTGCATCCCTAGAGCGCATTCAACAGGTAGTTCGTCATAGTCTAAATCACGTGTTTGGAGTTCTTTTGAATGATGTTCCTGTGGTATGGATCTGAGAAGATTGCGACTGTTAGCTGTGAACTTAGTAAGCTTGAAGCCACCTTCTGCACATGATTTCTGCAAAGAGTCAACTAAGTCAATAGCTGCCTCTTCCTAGACTAACATATAGTCTCTGAAATGAACATATCATACAGAAAAAACAGTTGTTCAGTTATCTTAATAAAAATCTAATAAAAAGGGAGCCCAGTGATTCTCTTCATTTTCAGAGACTAAACAAATCTGCAGTGCTATAATTTCTTGGAATTTTACGACACGTGTAAAGGATCCTATCACCCATCACTGGCATGCCATTGAAAGTGTGTGTGACAGGAAATTTTATTGCCCCTACCACATCTCCCCAAACACACACCCCTCCCACTGGAAGCTGGGGGGGGGTCAGTTTAGATGGCAGTAAGTATCAAATGTCCAGAAATCTATTTTGAGAGCGAGCTTGGGTACCAGCTTAGGGGCAGCATTTAGTGTGATTCCCATGGCTAAACAACTTGACCTCTCGAAAACTCCAACGAAGGTTTCAAAGTTACTTAATATTTCTCCAAAATCTAAAGGTTCTGTTTGCACTATATGTGGCAGTTTCATTGATGTGCCATCAAACAGGAGAAAACTTTTTATTGGAAGTACTAAGACAGAGCCATGTCTTCTGATTGAAAAAGTTTTAAAAGTGTCAGTACATCGGGAATGTTCTACACATACTGTGTGCAGAAAATGTCTAGCTGAGGTAACTCGAGTGGACAATACTTTAAGCCGACTTGTGACATCATTTGAAAAGACTGTTATTTCTTTGTACCAATCCCATGGAACTGAAGTTACAAAAAGACTAAGATCTGAAGATGTTTCTGAATCAAGGGATTTCCGGAGAAAGTCATTATTCCAGGAAATAAGATCTGAAATCTCCGAAGATACAAGCTCTGCGTCTGCTTTTACATGCAGCAGGGGTACTGATGCTGTCAGAGTAAGTAGATTATCAATTTATTATCAAACTTGTCGATCACAAACATTAACTAGGTGTAGTCATATGTTCATTTCGTTACAGTAATATTGTTATGAATATGTACATAACAACAAAGTTCACAAACATCCCTCCTATATCATATTTACAGGTCATGAATTTTCATATACCGATGTCATATTATTGGTCTTATTCACGGGTATAATTGTCATTGTCCAGACAATTCTCCACACGCCCCACTTTTTTGTTTCGTTTCCGTAAGAATATACAAGAAAAAGTTTGTTTTGGGGCTCTAACATTTAACATTATTTATAAGAGGATAATTCAAAAGAATAGATTTTGGGATCTTAACAATCAATGGGTGTGATTATGTATACATCATCTCATTAGGGTTTGTGATGTTTTTAAATGGTATAATCAAATTCGAGAAAAGCGGGCGAATTTTATGTATTTTTATAGTGAGGCAGTCGGGACCAGGGAATTGGTTCGAGATAATGCTACATTCAACATAACAAAGTTCAACTACTGAGAGATAATTTATTAAGAACAATAAAACCACTAAAACAGGAATGAATTCTACAAAACAATATATATAATAAACACAACTATTTAAATGCAACTATATAATACTGCAGACATGTAGTTGGGCTATTACATGTTGTTTGATTATAAAACCAAAACCAACAAAAAGTATGTACATGTTTCATAGATCCCCTATATCTTGAACATTACCTTTCAGGTAACGATTACTACTTCTGATGGTTGCAACAGGACTGTACTTCATCCTCTGTCTAGTTTGGCTCTTGCCACTACAGCTCCAGACTTCAAGAATCTATCAACTTTGATACTGGGTACAGAAGTATTGAAGCCTTATATCATAAGAGGTGTTTGTGGTGTAATTCAGGGAGAGATAGCTAAAATATGTTCCAAAAAAGATGCTTCAATTCTAAGGACTACGACTGCATCTTGTCTGCAGAACCTATCATGGGAAACTATTGCAAATGAATGGAAAACAAAAGCACCAACATATTGGACACTTCTACAAGTATTTGCATCAAATCCTTCTTTGCACAGAAATAAGACGAAGAATGAAAATTCTCTTCTTCCTGCAATAGTTTCAGCTGGTTCCAAACTTTTATCTGTTTACAACCGAGAGCTGAATAGCCTACAACACTTAAACAGCATCATCCTTCTGAAAGGTGGAGCTAAACAGTCTGCATTTAACAGGCTGTGTGTAACAAATGACAGCACAAGTTATTCCACAGCAATAACTGATATAGAACATCTATCCAGAGAATGGGATGTGGCCATTAATGAGTGGAAAACTCAGTGTGAAGCTGATGCTCTTACCGAAAGTGTTTACCTGAAAAATGTTTCAGAAGCACAAGAATTTGTGGCAGCGAATGGGGCTTCTCCAAATGCACTATTTCATCTTGACCAGGAGGAAAAAACACTTGATGCACACAGAAAAAGGATGCACCCAGGCTATTATTTTGTTGGGGACAATGTTGACTTCTACACAAGAGTACGATTTATGTCATCAAAACACCAGAACAAAAGTCAGCACATGTTCCAAATATGTGCTTACAAGAACAGAGTTGATGGGAACACTTTGGATGATTCAAGCCCCCAACAGGATGAAGAAGAAATTCAATTTTCCACTTTACTGCCTGGCCAAGAAGAACAGTCAATCCTGATCAACGAATTTGCCTATATTGTCGCAAAGAAGTGGATTGAGTTCATTCCCAGTTTTCGCGTTTTTGAACCAGTTTTGCCACCATGCATTCCTCATAAATACATGAAGGAAATGCGCCAGAAAAATGAGAGAATCAATCTCGGCGTCCTGGAGAAGAATGAGCAATATAATGATCAAATGACCAATATCTGTGTGTTCATCCACAAATTCGTTCCTGGCCATAACGAGGAAGAAAACTGTGCACAAGAACCTCAGAAGGTTCTGAGTGGAGGGGATTATCTGACATATGAGAGGCACAAACAGGCTAAGAATTGTAAATCTAATTGCAGAACACCATCAAAACAACTGAAAGGACTAGTCCCCAAAATAGAAGAGTTTCATAATCAGGCAGAATTTCTCAAATTAATTTGGAGCCTTCTCTGTGACACCTCCTCATCCAATTCAATTGGAACACTGTACGCAGCAAGAAACAAAATGAATTCAAGGAATGTGCCATCCGATCCCCATGACAACTTCTATGCCTCTTCTGAGTTCATGGATAAAGTCACAACTGCCTACATCATTGCTGGTGGACTTCATCACTTCGAAATGGAAAATTTACATTCTAAACCAAAGCCAGATTATGCAGGTCCAGTTGGGGACCATGACACAATGAAGGAATACATCATGGAACATGCCAACCAGTTTGTTGAGAATCATGCCGTCCCTCATGTGCAAAATCTTCCTGATTATGGCATTCAGTCAAATGACATCAAATGCAGATACTGCGACAAAGAATATCGAAGGCCCATGTCGCTTAGAAAACATGAAGCTCGTATACATGGTCATCCTGATCCACAGTTTAATCAACAGTCAGGTATAAGCCCTCCCGTCAAAACATCATCCAAATCCAGTGTGTATGACTACACAAAACTGTGCCTGACCTTAGGATTGCTGAGGCTCAACCACAATGATGCCATCAGATTTGGGGATGGCGAGAGATTGCTACGATTAGCAAAATTCTTTTGCTTATATTACAAAGGTGGAAAGTGCCCCAAATATGCATTTGCCCTGCTTGAGACTACTGCTCAAGCACAATGTCTTCTGTCGGAGAGACAGGCGGAGAGATTTGTGTGGAACAGGACAGTCAACCACCAGGGAAAAATTGACACAAACCATCCCAATGATCTTGACCTTGAACATTGCAACAAAGTATTTAAAGAGGATGTGCATACATATAGGGGGAAATACACAGAGAAAACTATTCTGAGAGTTAGCAGGAGTGCACTTGCAACTGATGGCATATGCAAGAAGTTTGATAATGTGTCTAGTGTGAGGCAATGCTCTGGGAAGCACAAGAAAACTGATATGGCAGATGACATTCAACTACTGGCTGAACAACTACACAGTATTGGAAACGTTTTTGATATTGATGACAGCAGAGTTCATGATAGCTTTCCAAACCTAAAAGACCCGTTAGCATCCCTTAACATGGAAGACATCCAAACTTGGATATCAGGCAGTTTGAAAAAGTTCAGCAGTAAACACTATGTATGAATTCAGTCACTCTCTGAACTGTACGTCAAGACAATAGGTTTTCTCCTGGTATTCTCATCAACCTCGCTGTCACTGGATACGTCATCATCAGATGCAGTGTCACTTGAATCACTTGATGAATACAGAGGGGAGCGTATCTTGTCCATGACCAATGATGAGATTTGGTTACAAGTTTGGTCACAATCACATGTTTCCACGCAGTTACACTGGCATTTGCATGTCAGAGCACATACATCACACCAGTCATGAGGTGGACTCACTTTTGATGGGGAACTTTCAAAATGCTGTAGAAGTTCCACACGGCGACATGAAGTTCCTTTGCAATACTGTCTCATGCAAGGCTTGACTGCATTTCTCCCGGACAAACACCTCTTATATTTCATCAATATGGCATGTGCTTGCGTATTGGGATCTCTTCCACCTCTTCCAGTTTCTTGTAGATAATCTTCAACATCATAAGCTGGTCCATAGTGAATGACATGGTCTACACCTTGAACATCGAGGCCCATGCTGAAGGATGTAGACACTAAAACAACACGCTTTGTACCCTGCGGGTCCATGAATGAGGAGCAGATACTTTCTTTAACATGTCAAACAGTCTATTCCGGTCATCATTTGGTCCCTCAGGCTTAAAGTCGACATAAGCCTTCTGACGAAGAGAATACATCAGATATTGATATAGATCACCTATCTGCCGTGTGCTTCTGAAGAAAATGATCATTCTTGGAGTGTTCTGACCCTGTTTCAGAAGTAGATCTGCAAGCCATGCAAAGTCTTCAGTTAGGCTGTGTTTTGTCTCATACATCCAATATTTGATATTACATTTATTTGGACTTACAATAACTTCTTCACACTTCTGCATGCACAGTTTTTCTTTGATTATTTCCCGAGTTTTTGTACATGCAGTGGCAGTAAGCGCAATGACTGGAACAGTTGTTAATGATCTTAGCTCTCCAAGCTGCCCATAAGCTGGTCGAAATGGAGCCGTGTTCTTGTCACTGGACATTCCACTGAAAAGACATGTGACAAACCTATAACCGTGTATACTCATTGAAAACATGTTGATGTTATTAGTGTTTCACAATTACTATGACCTATGAACTAGCTCGGAATTATAATTTCAGAGTTGTTGTGTTGTTAGTTGAAATGTTAATTAATTCTTGAAAGTGTCCTAGTGTCATGTGGACTGTTACTCCATTGCAGGTATGAGAGTTTTTGCGTGCTCATGTGGTGTTACTAAGTGTCTGTTAAAGTGCTAAGCTAAGGATGATGATGGGAAGACATTTTATCTTGTCCAGAGCATTACAAGTAGATAAATGTATGGTACACATATGTTCCGAGACAATACACTTTCTGGTTGACAATCTTCACATCTTATAATGCTTAGAATTACACACTTGTATTAATAATAGGTTTACCTGGTATAGATTTAAAGGTTAAGCATAGGCTATTATTTTGTTCGAAACTGGTTAATTTTTGTGTAAACAAAAGAGCAGGCATTTCAGTTATGAAAACAACATCTGTTCACATGTAACTACAGCTACTATGTAATGTCTAGCAGGAGTTTCGTTTGTACTACTAGTATTAAGACAATGGATTTATCAAATACACATGTAATAGTCTCATTCAGATTCCTCCCACCCAAACCCGACTTCTTGCTAATTTTCAAATTTATCCCATGGCTGACAATTTGTTATATTAATACTAATAAACTCGCGTAAATTTGGAAATAGCTCTATGTCAGCTCCCCAAAACACAAATTTAATTAAATATTTGCAGTAAACTAGCAATGTTACTACCTTTTATTAGAAGTAGGTTATCATACTGGAAAAGGTAATATTATATAGGTTTGCTTTGAAAAAGGGTAAACAACATTTTGTCTTGAGCAGTGAAATATTATGAGCTTTGAATAATTTGTTGTTTTATTTAGCCAAGTATCCAAAGAAAATACAAATTCCAGATGGATGCCTTGGGGGCCCATTCATACTTACTGGGGTGTGGGTGTGTGGGTGTGTGGGGCGGGGGGAGGTGGTGGTTTTGTTTACGACCAGTTTCGATCACTGGATTAATTAAACATTTCAATTAACTAATATGATGACATCATGTTGATGCAGTATCTCCGCTAAGCCCCCTCCTAAGCCTTTTGTCCTGCATTTGTATACAGGAAAAGCAAACATTGTAATAAACAGTAAGGTGTCACTACATATCCCTGTCAAGCCTAAGTGTCCTTATTTATACCAGCTGCAAACAAACACTTCACTTTCTTTTACCACCCACTCCCACCCAGCCAAACCCCCACCCCCATCAGCTTTATTAGATTAGCACTGTAAAGGTTATATTTTTGTGTGTTGCACTTCTTTATTTATTCATTACGCTTTTTTCCCCACTAGTGTAAGTGCAACCCCCGTTAAATCTCCAATGTGATGATGATGATGAAACACTTCCACTGAGCAAATATAGTTTACTTTGCCATTTTGTATTAGCAAACATTTGTGCAGTTCATTGGTATAGTACATGAAATGAAATAATTTTGTAATAGAGAGAGAGAGAGAGAGAGAGAGAGAGAGAGAGATACATAGATACACAGATAAATAGATAGATACATACATATTGGTATGTATACATGTTGAGAGAGAGAGGCAATCTTGTATACTTACAATTTGGAAATACAATGTGCTTCATCTATGAAAACTGCCTTCAGATGTTTTTCTTTATCCAATTCAGTAACTATGTTCCGATGATGTCCAAGAATAGATTCTGGACTGGTGAATATTATGTCTGCTTTTCCATCCCTTATGTCATCGACGGTCAATTTCTCAATGGTTGATACCAGACTGTCATCATTTGTCGGTGTTGCCTCCTGTGCGACATCATTCATGTACACAGCTTTGAGTCCTATTGACACACATTTCTCCGTTTGCTTCTTCATAAGAGCAATCAAGGGTGACACAACAATGACAGTAGCATGGCTTGTGTTTTCTACTGCCTTGTATAAATAGGGAGAAAGTTCAAAAGTCAATGATTTTCCACTCCCGGTTGGAGAGCAAAACAACACATCTTTGCCATCTAAGTACCTTTCAATGACTGTCTTTTGATTTGGACGTATTCTCTGTATATTTGCTTTCATCAGTGATGAAGCAATAAGCTCAGTTATGTTCCTATTCATTCTTACAAGCAGAATAGAAAAAAAGCAATTCTTACACAGCAGTGAAAAACCTTTAGAAACCTTTAGAAATCCTCATCTTTCCGAACCAGGGTGACAATGAAAGAAATAAAGAAACTAGATTTTATATATGTCACTAAGTCTCCAATATAATCCCACATGTTGTCTGGCCAGAGTGAGTTGGCAGGGCCAGAGCGGGAGGTCTTGTCTCAGTGTGGGGTCTTGGGGAGTGGAGGGGGGTGAGGCTCACCACATGCTAATACTAAACACTAATGACAGCTAGAGATTTACTGATAATTACAAGCTCTGTGCTCGCTTGTGAATTCAGCAGATTTGTACAGACCCTGATACTGCAGTAATCTAGACTTGCCAAACATTATAGACTTGCATGGGCTGTAGTTGATATAAATGTATCAGGGTCTGTAAGACAGACTAGCCTCTTCCGTGCATTCCGATTTGAGACAATCATCAACATAAAAATTGTTGCAGATTGTGTCAGCAGCAAGGCTTCCATACTTCTCTTCAGCTTTCTTTGCAGCAGCTTTGAGAGCAAAGTTGGATATGCTGGGGGAAGAAACTGCTCCAAAAATGTGAACAGCCATCCTATACTCATGTAGCTCCGAGTTCAAGTCACCATTTGGCCACCACAGAAAGCGTAACAGATCATGTTGTTGAGGAGGAACACGAACTTGTAAAAAATATGGCTTCAATATCAGCCATGAAGGCAACTGGTTCATTTCTGAATTTGGTAAGAACACCTATCAGGGAGTTCGTGAGATCAGGTCCTTGCAAGAGTCTGTCATTTAAAGAAAACCCTTCAAACTTTGCTTTGCAGTCAAATACTACGCGGATTTTTGAAGGCTTCTTCGGATGGTATACACCATGGTGTGGCAGATACCAAACCTTTCCTGGTACAGGTGCTAGCTCATCACTTGGGACCTTGTAGGCATATCCATTGGAAAGCAGACGGTATAAGGCAGTATAATGTTCATGATACTCATCATCATGTAGCATTTTCTTCCTTTGCCACATTGCTCTCTTCTCGGCTTGTTCTCTGTTGTTGGAAAAATCAATGTCTGGATCCCTGAGAGGTAATGGCAATTCAAAGTGGCCGTTAACTTCCGCGATGCCTTTATTTGCCATGTCGATAAACTGATCATCCTCTCTAGAGAAACCACGTTCACCAGGTAATATTCCAGTGTCCTTGGGATTAAAATCCATTTCAAACATATTCAGTATCACATCAGTGAGACATTCTTTTGCCGAGGTGAATTCTTGGAAGAGCACACGATTGCATGTGAGCGTATTATCAACTGGGTTGAACTTGATATAAAGCGGCCCACTGACAGTCCATCCATGTCTGTAGAGTACGGCGAAAGGACCTTCACCTTGAGATGGAATCACTTGCTGAGGTTGAAGTGCAAGAGGACAGTTACTCCCAATAAGAAGACCAATATCCAGATTAGGTAGGTATTTGGGCAACTTGTCAGCCATAGCACACAGATGAGGCCATTTCTTCAGAATGTCAGGATTGGGAATCTGACTATGACTTACAGGTATCTCCTCTCGAGTGAAAGTTCTTGGAAGCGTCACTGCATTATCACCACTGAGATCTGACACAACAAGACCTTCCACAACGTGCGTACTCACAACATGAAGTCCGTGCATAGTCCGAAGTTTCAGTGAAGATTCTGTAGATGTAGTCTCAAGTCGCTGTCTAAGATCCTCCGTTATAAAGCAGCCAGTACTCCCGTTGTCAAGTAGTGCATAGATCTTCACCAGCTTGTCACTTCCCTTTTGTTGAATCAGAACTGGAAGAATAGCTTGGAGCACAGTATCTGAAATAACAGGTTCAATGTTGTTGCATGAAGATGACACAGACTTCTCTTGATCTGGAGATACAAGAGAATCAAAAGCTTCAGAAGACTTCTGATCTACGTTCTTACTTGCAGAACGGAAGTTCTCATCATGCAGTATTGTTGGATGACACTTTCCACACTTCTTACAGCTTCGTTTCTTCATACAGCCCTTTACCATGTGATTGAATCCAAAACATCCAAAGCACATTTTTTTCTCTTGAAGATATGTCCTCCGTTCACTGAGAGATTTCTGACCAAACTGTTTGCAGGATTCAATGTCATGAGGTCCTCTGCAGAAGTAGCACGAAACACTTCGGTATTTATCCTGCTTGTGGTTCGAACTGTCTACACCAGTCACGAAACTACTTGACTTGGCTCCATCTTTCTTTGAACTCTTGCCTTGTTTGGATCCCCAGTGAACTTGGCTCTTGGATATAGCTTCCTTTCCAAACACAGGCTCATTAGCAGATCTAGAAGCAAACTCAATGAAATGCACAAGATTTTCAAAGTCAACAGGCCTGTTGCTATGAAGTTGTGCTCTGGTAACATGATCACGCCATTTAACGCTTGCAAGTTAACAGAATGATTAAGAACAGTCATGTGTGACATAGTCTTCATTGCATGAAAACACTTGATGAGGAAGTGAGAGAATTGTTTAAGTCCATGACAATCATCATGCTTGATCTGAGGCCATGATAGAACTTGATTAACATAGGCAGTTGAAACTTTGTATGGGTTACCATACTCACTACTCAACAGGTCCCTGGCCTTAGTGTAGCCTTCCTCTGGATCAATGTAGAGACATCCAGCAATCAAGTCCTTTGGTTCTCCCTCAAGCTGCTGTTCCAGGTAGTAGAGTCGATCTATAGAGCTGCTAGCATGAGGAACTATACGGGCATCAAAAGACATGATAAATGCACCATATTCTGTAGGGTCACCTTTAAACTTTGGCACCTTAGGCTGAGGTGACAACATAGCTGTTGCCATCTGTCTATGAGCTTGCAAAATCAGTTCATTCTAGTCATGTAAATGCTGGGCTGTATCTTCTGTCCTAGAGCTTTCCATACCAGGACACTTTGAAAAGGATGGTTGAAAGTCAGAAGCATTTGGGTTAAGCCCTTTCTGATGCTCATTATCGTCCAAATGTTCATGTTTGAATACAAGATGAGGTCTTTTGTCAAAAGGTTTCAAAATGGGGTTACCACTTTGAACAATACTGGCATTTGACAACTGTAGCTTAAAATCGGCACTATATGAACTACCTACTTCAAGACATTGGGGCATGTTGCCAGGAGATCTTAGCATATCAGGCACAGTAGCTTTGATATCAGGCATAGAAGGATTGACACTAGGTCTTGATGCTACAGAGATCCTTTTATCATGATCAACTAAAGTGTTAGAAACATAAAGATTACACTCCACTACACCAGGCGTATAAGTTCTTGTGTCTGCTTGTGAATCAGCATAGACTTTCTCACGTGCCTGAGATTTAGCAATTTTAATGTCTAACTTCAAAGATTGCAATTTCTTAGACTCTTCAAGAAAAGACTTTTCAACTAAAAGTTCAGCCAACCTTGCACGCTCCTTTGTATATGCTGACCTGGTTGAACTCCTGGAATGTCTCGATGACTTGAAACTTTTTGATGACTTGAACTCCCTAGAAGACACACTTTCAAGGTGATCCGCCAGGACATTCTCCATGCGAGTAATCCAATTTTCTACTTCGCTACGAAACTGTAGAATGGAAATCTCCCTCTCCTGGTGACCCATCTGCTCTGAACTCTGCACATCCTCTGAAATAAGCTCTTCATAATAATTTGTGAAACATACAGAATACTTTTGACACAAGTCTTTATATTCAACAAAGGTAAGCTGAACAACATGCAAATTGTCACTACTGCTACTGATCAAGAGTCTAGAAAGTTCTGTTCTCTTCTTAGTAAGAGAAGAGAGAACATCGGTCACTCTGGTTTTCAACAAACGAATCTGTTCAGCTTTCCCGTGCTCAGTAATTGTCCTTTGACGACCAGAACGACGTAGAATGTTCTCACCACCAGCACCACTATCCTCCTGAATGTCATTACTCACTTCATTACCTTGTCTAGTCTCAATCACACTTGCACCTTGAGCTAGCTGTTTCTGTTCTGTAGCGGTCTCATCACCACTATCTATCAGCATCCTTTCTTCTGTGTCTATGCCCCGTTGTCATCTTGAGCGTTGTCGTTGGGCAATACACCGTTAGGATTCATGATGTTGTAACAATCACCAAACTTCAATGAAAATTCACGAAATTCAAAATCCAAAATATGTGCAGTCTATGGTCAACAGTCTACACAATGTCTTCCTAATCATTTAGATGCAGGGAAGATTTTCTTGAACTATATTATAGCAGAAATCAACAGTCTTGATACTCTCAATTGATGTTTATTGTCCGTTATTCGTTGAAAATAATAAGTGAAAAGCTCATTCGTTTGTATCCGTTAACATGCTTTTCCTTTGAACGTTGAAGTTCAAGAAACTAGAAAATAACAAGAAAATGTTCTAAGTTACAGTGTAAACAGTGAATTGGCTAAGTTGTTACAAATACAAAATTCTACAAATATTATATCATTTGAAGATAAATGATAGCTTCAACATTACTTTAGATGTACACACATTGTATAAATATGAATAAGCAGGTTAAAAACTTACATCTGTGTTCTGCAATAGTTCATGACATGTTTCTCCAACATGGAGACCTTTCAAACTGAAGGTGACAGTGGATGAGGTCACATGACTAATCCCATGATGCAACACAACTGATTATAAGTCACAAAAACTTTTGCCTGAACCTGGGATTGAACCCTGGACCTTTATGCTGCTAGTCCAGTGACATAACCAACAGACCATTGTTAAGGCTGATATCTGTACATGAAATTCATAACATTTTTGCATAACAGATTTGCAACATAAATTATACATTCTGCACTAACACTACTACATATCACTGAAACGTATGCTAATGGAGCCTTTACACAGGATGGCGACCTTTGTGCCTCCCGTGTGCGACGTTAAAATTTGTCAGGTCGTCGATGGAGGCTAAAAGGAGGCAGAATGGTTGCCTAGGTCGATCCAAGGTGGTACACAGGAGGTTCAGACATCGCAATGGACGCCATGGTCGCCGTGAATGTTCAAAACAGTCTCACAAAGGTCGCCGAGGAGGTTGGTTGCTCAAAGGTGGCTCAAAGGAGGCAGAAGGGAGGCACAAGCATTCCCGTTTTTGCAGAATTAAGGCACACTGGTCGCCCTATGGTCGCCAGGTAATAGATACGTTCTGCTGAAATATTGTCCCGTAAATCTGGGCGATGCTTCTGCCTACGTTGTGCCTTCTTTGGACGACCAACAGCGTGCATTGAACGATGACTATGGCGACCGCCGTGCCTCCATTTGGCGACCACGGCAACCCTTAAGACACCATGGCAATGCTTAGGCCTCTTTTCTGCCTCCTTTGAGCTACCTGTTGTGCCTCCTCAGCCTGCCTATACATAGAGGGCTAGTACCTGCAGTGTTTCATTGTGGTTGCAGATGCTGAACAACTCGAGCAGTTACTGCTGAACAACTGCTGGAGCAGTTACATAGAAACATGATTTTCTGGGTTAAGGCGACCATTGAGCGTCCTGGCCAGTTTTTGATCGCTCAAAGGTGGCACAAAGGTCGCAGCCCTGTGTAATGGGGCCTTTACAGATGGCAGTTAAAATACAATGCAAGTAAAGTGCTGTATTATCATTTAAATGTGCAATAAAACTTACGCAGCCCTTAAACTTATATTTAGGTGAAATCAAGCTCCCAGTAAAGGATTCTGTTATATATGCAGGAGTATTTATCTGTACAGGAAGATTATCCTTGAGCGTCAACCCTAGCTTGTGAGAAACTCAAAATCGATTAATATTAATCAGAACCTTGGCTTGGACTTTGGTGGTCCTAACCCAACTGCTGCTGTTCGTATATGGGACATGTTACAGATTGTCACAAAATATAAACTAGGCGATGAAATAGACAACTTTGTATTAATTCTCGTTTTGTTAAGAAAGAAATCTTGGACCTCATTAGTTAAGCAAAGTGTACGCCACCACGATACATTAGCAGTAGAAAGGGAACTTCAAACCAGATTAGCACTGTCTAGATACATCGTTATCAGATCCGGTAGTGCACCGAGGTTATGGAAACTTGCTACACTACACACAGATAACTTTGCTGACATTGCTAGGCTTGCATGCATAGGACCATCCTCTATACAGCCTAAAGAATGTCAGTGTGGCACAGTTGCTAATGATATTGTTAAACGTGTGTTTATGTCATGTCAAATCAACCTCCACGAAAGAGACCTCCTGTTATAACAAATTGAATTACTAAAACTTGCTACTGTTGATTTCCACTACCATTAATTTAGCTCTTGTGTTGTAATAACTATACACATACATATGCTGTAATCTTTATATTATGGAGGAAATAAAGAATATCTATATATGATCAGCTCAGGATGAGCCAAGCTGAAAAAAACGATATTTGTTGCGCGCAATTTCACTACAAGGCTTCTTATTCTCTACAGCTTCAACAAATATTTCTCAGATGGATCTTTGAATTCAGGAGTCTAGCTTGGTAGTGCTTCTCGGTACCTATTAGTAATAAGGATAAATACCATAAAAAGATCTAAGGAAATATTGCGCATTAAGATATTTGAAACCAGGACTCAAACGGTATTTGGGAGTATTTTTACCCTTTTAGTACAATTGGTGTTTTCCCCCTTTTTTTGACGAGCTTGACTATATGGGATATATCATGAGTGCTATGACCCAGAAAGCAGCAATAATCCTATTCTTACATCAAAACTCTGAAGTGATGAATACTATTTCTCTGTGTGATTTCTAAATGAAATACAATATACATATATTGTGTTGGTGCCTGGACCTTAGACCATTCCTTATCTGTATAAAAAGTCCAAGACAATGCAGTTATTTCTGTACCAATATTGTGCACTTTGGGGACTTTGTAACAAATAACAAACTTTCAGATGTTTGAAGCTACGAGTCTAGCTTTAAGGTGTGACACCTCGGTAACCCGACAACTTACTATTGTCTGGGCCCTAGCTGTTAGCTGTATCTATGTGTCTGGCTTGGCCTGGAGACATTACATCGATTCTCTGCACGGTGAACTTCAAAGATCCAGCTTGAGTAACAATACAATTTGGAATACATGTTTACTGCACCCATACATAAAGACGTTTTGGGAAGACACATTTAGTCAATAATATACTGGCTTTGGTCAAACATACCTACCTGACTGCTCTTTTATTATGTCCCATTTGAGACATCCAGGCAAAAGTCCATTTACTTACATACACTTTCATATGACCCAATGAGATATATATAATCTTTATCTACAAAATGGCAAATAATTTGGCACCTGCTTATCTCTGCAACGTAGTCCCAGACCAGGTTAACGCTCGCAGTGATCACAGCCTCCTCAGACCTCCAAACAATAAGATGTAAGACTGAACACTACGCAGGCTCCTTTATACGTAACTCTACAAAGTTATGGAATAATCTATCAGAAGAAATTAAATCTACTGGCTCATACTCAAATTTCCGAGATATATTATCATGCAAGAACAATTACAAACAGTTCTTTCCTACAGATTTTGGAACCAGATTCTGTCAAATTATTCACTGCCGCCTCGGACTCGGCTGTGACCTAAACGGACATAAATTCGACAGATTCATAACTCACAGCCCAGATTGTTCCCGAGGTCACCACTATAAAGACCCGCTAAACTACTACTTCTGTGTTGCAATAATGATCCAATTAGAAGCAAATCATTATATTACATAAAATAATATGATATTAAGAAAGTACGTTACGGATGTGAAGGCCTATCATCTGAAGCAAATCAAGAAATTCTTGTATTTGTCCGTACTTTCATCACAAATTCTGGTAGATTTAAACTTAAATAATACACCAAACTCTCACATATAATATATGTGTATCTTGTGTACATTATGTAGTACTTAATGTTACGTATAGATGAGTTGCAGCAGACTTGCCGTTCCGTCTCCGGTCGCGCATGCGCATCGTGCGTGCGGCAAAAGACCACGGAAGTGAACCGCGACGACCCGCTGTCAAGGTCAGAGCTGTCAAACTTCGCGCTGCCGTATTTACGTTCCGTGTTTACACATTTATCATGAGTACCTACTACAAACATCTTTGTGCAGTAGACAAGCTTCGTTACGAAGAAAAACTTAATTTACTTGGATTTTCGCTAGATTGGGAACCATATATCATTAATAAGTACTGGATTGACGACGTTTCACAGTAGCCAAACTTGCAGTATGGCGACCTGTACACGTATCTAATAGATTCGCCTGGTCCTTTTACCAGAAAGAGTTTGCGATGTTTTCGTTCACTAGAGGCCTATACTTTGTTTGAAAGTGGATGGGTTCATACGTGTCTCATCAGGTACAACTCTTCACAGACCAAGTGCATGATTAAGGTAAGTCATCAATGTTAATATTTTTATCTGAACATGCATTATATTAGGCCTATCTTTACGGTCGTGGCATATAATTCTATGCGGCGCCATAGTATGTGTTTTCCATGGTCAGTGTACTCTTAATCCATAGTTTGTGTGTAAACAAAAAAAAGATCTTATTTAGAAACCACTGAATATCAAATATTATAATCAACCAATCGCATGAATGTCTGTGACAGCAATATATAATTTTTTTAAATGTTGATTGATTTTTCAGGCCAAGGTTCACAGATCCCAAGCTGTGACAGAGAAGCCCCATGAAGCCTGGGTTGGTCTGGATAAGAGTGGCAGGGTGGAGTGTGCACACTGTACATGCATGGCAGGGTATTAGATTTATTTATTTAATAAATATTTCTGGAAATAGGTTTTCTTTCAAATATGATCATCTGTTGTGGTAAATAAATCTCATTGTACTCAATTTCATATATTTCAGAAAAAAATTGTAAATTAATTGTTCAAAGTTTAGTTAAATGTTTGTTCAAATTCAGATTGGGTGAAGTCTGTTCACATGTTGCTGGTATCCTATTTAAAGTGGAGGCCTGTGTTCGATTTGAGTACAACAAAGTTTCCTGTACGTCCATGCCCTGTTCCTGGAATCAGACATTCACAAAGAAGGTAAAATGCAAAATATGAAAATTGAAAGAACAATATATTGGTGTTGATTTTAAACCACAGTATGTCCCATATTCCTTTATAACGTTTTAAACAAATTGGTTATGGAGGTTGAGAACTATTTCATTGTTGAATTACATTACTGACTTAGTCTAAAAAAAATAAAAGTGTTGGTTCTCAGGCACCGCCTGCATTTTCATAAAGTTCGCTGTATGTTTCGTGTTTATTTCAAATTTTTTATTTAAGAAATCCAACTGTATTCCAGTATTTTACTCATCAAGGAATACAATTATGTAGGGAGGCCCTTTCCCCGGTTGATTGTACACAATTGTTTTATTGATTACACAACTGTTTATTGGTCATATACTAGTTTGTACAACAACAACAAAAAAGACACCGCCCACCCACACTATATTTTCAAAAACCATTGCCTGAGAGCCAATTCTTTCTTTTATTTTAAGCCTTATAAAACATAATTTAGAATATTTGCAAGTGTGTGTTGGTGGTTGAATATCAGGCTGATTTGTATTTTTCCTCAAGACAGACAAGTTTGAAAACATGTCAGTATTTTAAAACTGTGTAATGTGATTTTTTAACTTAAATGTGAAATTCCTTTCAGCAACTGTATGTGAATATTTTTTTCAGGTTGAACCAGCTATGGTGGCAGACATAAATTTCTCCAAAGTCAAGAAGGTGCACTTGGCACCACCTCTGGCCCAGAGACAACCAGTTAAATTTGCAGATAGTTCTAGTCTTTTAGTAAAGTTGAGAAAAAGTGTACCCTCCGCAGCCATATTTACTATTACTAACCCTGTTATTACCGACTGGTCCGAAGAAGAACATGCCCAACTTCCTTCTCCACTATCACTTTTATTTGATGAGAAATATAAACATTTGACTGAGGCAGAGTTGAAATGTAAATGTGAGAATGTTTTTTCTGATGAGTTAAAAATAACACAGCAGGAAGCTACAGTGTTGGAGAAAGAAACCATCTGTCAGAGTGGATCAGCTACCTGGTTTGAGTACAGAATAGGACGTTTAACTGCCTCTAATTTTGTGAGTATTTATCATTGTCAGTGTAAACCCAGTCAGGTTTCGTTATTGAAAAAGATAATGCAATATGACCAAACTACTGACTCTGACAGTAATAAACATGACCAAGCTAGTGTGTATGCTCCCTGTGAGTGGGGTTTGGAACACGAAAATGACGCTCTTGATCAATATAAAACTATTATGATATCTGGTCATACCAACCTTGTCTTACAGAAATCCGGTTTTGTCATCAACCCAGATTTCCCCCACTTAGGTGCTACACCTGACTCATATGTGACATGTGACTGTTGTGGTAAGGGTCTTGTGGAGGTTAAGTGTCTCTTTAAATACAGAGACCAGCATCCTTGTGAAATTTGTGATAATCAGTTCTATCTAAAACCTCATGTAAAATATGATCCTGTTTGTATAAACTCGCTTCAAACTAGCCACAATTATTATCATCAGGTGCAAGGCCAGTTACATGTCTGTGATATGAATTATTGTGACTTTGTTGACTGGTCCAGAAAGGGTATCCATATTGAACGTGTCATAAAAGACACTACATTTTGGAACTCACTGAAAGTGAAATTAGATTTCTACTTTTTGAGAATTGTTTTACCTGAACTACTGACTAGAGCACATGACCATAAGATGAACCATGCTCACCCAGTATCCAGAGAAAGGCGTCGCTGCATAATGTATGAATAATACAATGCAATGTATGTACATCAATGCTTGTGGTAAGAGGCGACAAACGGGATCGGGTGGTCAGGCTCGCTGATTTGTTTGAACTGTGTCATCATATCCCAATTGTGTGGATCGATGCCCATGATGCTCATGATGTCAATCACTGGATTGTCTGGTCCAGACTCAATTATTTACAGACAGCTGTCATATAGCTAAAATATTACTGATTGCAGAGTTAAACAACAAACAAACAAATGCTGCTGATCATGCTTGATAACTGACCACCAAGGTATTTTTTGTGCAAATATTATGTTTACACCTTGACTATCTTTGTTATCCGATTTCTATATAGGGATAGGTATTCAAATAAACGCTGTCTTTTTTACCGATCTCAATTTTCAGTTGAAATAAAAATATATTTAAACAGATATATTGTACACGGTGTCCATCTTGTAGGTGCCTCTGAAGCCGTGTCTGTATGGGTACAGGGTCTGCATGATGATGGTTGTAGTCGGAACTCTGTGGGACACATAATTGTACATGATTGGTCTTGTCTATTTGCAAATGTGCCAGGTCAATGACTTAGCCTTGTAGTGTATCGTAAAGATAAGTTGACGCCAAATATGCTCTGTGTAAGTATTTAGAGTAAAGATTATGCACATGAGCCCGAAAGCTGAACACTACCGGGGACCATCTCAGCAACATACCAAAACGCTAAACTCCGACAGCACTTATTATGGCTTGCTGTGACTCGATATTTGAATTTTGAAGGTAGATTGAAAATAGGCTGACTGTATAGCGTCATGCCACGTTCTTCCTTGACTACCAAATGATAGTTCAACATCAGCGCCATGTCCAGCTGCATTCTCCATATATTTCAAACGGAAACAAAAACGGTGTTCTCGTGATCGAACTATCGACGAATGAAAGGTCGTAGTTCACAGCAACCAGCCCAGGTGGTAAGAAATTGGAGTTACTTCCTTTAGTGCGTCTTCTGAAGGCCTGGCTTTCTTGTGACAATGTGTTCCAAACAAGGTGGGAATGTAATTGCATTCACCTGCAAATAGATACATTTAACAATTTAATGTTTTGGCATATGATAATTATATGGCAACTTTCATGCCACACCTCATATAAAACCGAGACCCCCAGATCAGCCCATACTTCTATGCATTTTATATCAGCCTTGATATTGATATCCCGTATGTAAGGCGACACTTTTTTTATTTCTTGGTTTACGGATTTCAAACTCCTTTCAAAAGTGAGGCAGGCCAATTTAAAAAAGCAAAAAAAAAAGCCTTTCACATTTTTTTTTACTTGAATTTTGTCCTAAAAAGTTAGGTAGGTATGAAAAAAAATATCCTGGTGTAACAAAAGTCAAATAACTCAATTTTTCAAGAACATTTTATTATATCCCTGGCACACCAACATTTATCAAGGAAATTATCTGCTGAAATTAACATCTTTGCTACTACATGTTTGACCATACACTATTTGAAAGGTCTAATTAATCCTATTGTTTATAAATATGAAAGTTATGTGGATTACATTATTTAAATAATTCATTAACAACTAAATAAAGTTCGTTTGAAATAAAAATAATGTAAGCTAAAACATTCATAACGTCCAGATTAAGGACCAATGAAGCGCAAATTTTAAGATTTTTTCGCCAAATATAAGAATTCATAAAATCCACATACCCATTTCTTTTTTATTTTCATTTGTTTACGCTGTTAGAACATTATTTTAAAAAGAATTACAAATAATATCTGTCATCACCCATTTCCCGATGATAGTGGCTGTCCGCTCACTAACATGATGAAATACCTCCGTTTTCAAAGCTTCGTATGAATAACACAAACGTCTAAGGCTGCCATGTCAGTATACATTAAAAAAACTTATATTGTTTCACCGACAAAATCTGCTACAAGGTTCGTGATCGGTCAAATTTAAGCACGTGACCTAACGCAGCCAATCAAATAACAGCAACGGTAATTTTCTGACTTTGGCGAAAGGTTTGGGTTAAATCATGTTATTCTGAACGGTTAAGCATGGAATCGCGATCTATTTAAAAATATGGAACTTTGTGGATGTATAGAGCTAGGTTACGAGCTATGACAAAGATTTCTTATGCATATATTTTGGCATTAAGACATCGTGTCCGAGCCGAGAAATCGAGGCGACGAAAGGCGAGATGTCATTTGACTGACGATTACATGCGATCGCACGGAAAGTTGGAAATAATAACTAAGATGTCAGTTTGGCAACTTTTATGGATATATTTTTGAAGATTTTATTTCTTTGTAAATAAAGACGTTTCAGCACGTGAAACGTCTTTATTTTGCTGTTTGACATGTTCGATGAGGACCCGTTCTCGAAGTGTGTCCGAGAATATTTTCAATAACATTGCGGGAAATCGTGTCTAGTGAATACATTTTTAATCTATAGATAAAAAAATGATAAAGTCAAATCGAATACGTATTTCAGACATTGTGAAATGTGATAGATTTAATAAATGAATGATGTGACAAGTAGGTTAATATAATTATAAACTATTTTGACGTGACTTGGACGGTCTACCGTGCGGTGTGACTTGTGGCTTCGAACGGCCAACAGTGTTGAAATAGTTAAACTGGTCACCACTGCGCTTTGCGTTGACAAGCTATGATGGTATTATAAAAGGATCCCAGCAAGAAATATCAGAGTGACTTCCCTTTGCTTTACGCACGACGAGAAAATGTAATCTTTTTTTTGTTTGAACTTTTTGTCGAAAATATCGGCGGTAATAAAAAAAAGGGTAATTTGCATTTTTATTTTTTTTTAACATTTGGACTTTGAAAGAGCGGCGCATCCGTAAACCAAGAAATAAAAAAAATGTCGCCTAAGTAGAGTTCTATTCTTTTCATACACATCCCGGTTCGCCCCGATTGTGTTCTAGGTTTGTCAGCACCATACCCGTGCTCGTGGGTTTCACCGAACTGGTAAACGTCTGAGACCTGCATCACTTCGGGCTTATCTCCCACATTAAGCTGTCAAGCCGTGATATAACTGGAATAATGTTAAAAGCGGCGTTAAACCCAACTCACTCTCTCATTTCATACACACTTACTTATGACTCAAACTGCGTCTATATTTCAAAGCTTATCTTAAATATAATCTGGGCATATAAAATTAAATTTAGGACGATCTTGGTAGCATTACTATGTGTACCCTATATTTTCAGTGACCAGTGAATAGTCTTCCAATCACGTAGACCAGTTGTCGAGTTGCAATCGTCATCGCGGGGATATTCACATTTGAAGGATTTATTCTTGGAAGCTTGTCATCCGATGTGCGAATTCTCTTCATCGCCTATGGTCTTCTTATAGGTGAGTTGATATGTTGTAGGCCAGGAGACACTGTAGTGCATTTGGGATGCAGAGTTGCGTCCTTTAGGCATGCCACAAACCATTTGATGTTGAAACACGACTCAAGGTTTTGTTTGAATATATGAAGGGGGAAAGCCCGACGAACCGTCTGAATGCAAGAAATACCAGAAAGAATAGAACAAACATCGGGAGACCTCATATTGAAACGATACAGTAGTCGCTATATAAAACGAATCTGATGACACGGGGCGAGAGACAGATCTCGTGCAGCGTGGAGACAACTGAACTCAGTGCCATGTAAGATTGAACACCCTTTCATCACCTGCCCCGGTGGTTCAGTGGGAAGACAGTTTGTTACAATAATATACATGAGCAAAATGTTTATCCAAATGTTTTCCGATAGGGGTCGTATAATATCATAAGATGTGAGACAACGGTATTCTTACTAGTTTGAAGATCTGCTAAAATGTTATGTGCAAAATATCAATAGATGTCGCATATAATGATTGCTTCCTGAAATACAACGGAAATAGAGAGTTTGAGTATGGTACATGCATAGAAAAGAAAGTAATGAAAGAAGATTACTTTTGTAGACATTGGTCCCGTCTTGACGAAAATGGACGAAAACACACGCCCGGATACTTGGCGTCATATGATCGTCGCGGCTTCCTTCTCCACACTGTTGTTTTGCTCCTCCACGATGTATTCTAACGGCGTGTTTCTCGTGGCCTTCAAGGACACCGGCCTTTATGACGTCACCACGCTGTCCTGGCTGATGGCTTTTTCCAACACGATGCACGCTGTTGGTGGTACGAAACCATTTAACACCAATCAGATTTGTGTGTTTGTTTGTTGTCTAAGGCCGTACTCAGCAATATTCCAGCGGTCTCTAATACCTCTAAATAATCAGACAATCTAGTGATTGATATCATGAGCATCGATCCTCGCAATCCTTACTTATATATGTTCTATGTAAACTTAATGTAAGTGGGCGAGTTAATATAAGCGCAAAAGGGAAAGAGTCGTCGCAGTACCCTATAAAAAGTTACTTTTTTTTTATATAACACTCGATCATACTTCTATGCATTTAATATCAGCCTTGATATTGATATCCCGTATGTAAGTAGAGATCTATTCATTTCATGCACACTTGCTAATGACTCAAACTGCGTCTATATTTCAAAGCTTATCTTAAATTTAATCTGGGCATATAAAATGAAGTTTAGGACGATCCTGGTAGCATTACAAGGTGTACCCTATATTTTCAGGACCAGTGAGTAGCCTTCTAATTACGTTGACCAGTTGTCGAGTTGCAATCGTCATCGCGGGGATATTCACATTTGTAGGCTTTATTCTTGGAAGCTTGTCATCCGATGTGCGAATTCTCTTCATCGCCTATGGTCTTCTTATAGGTGAGTTGATATGTTGTAGGCCAGGAGACACTGTAGTGCATTTGGGATGCAGAGTTGCGTCCTTTAGGCGTGCCACAAACCATTTGATGTTGAAACACGATTCAAGGTTTTGTTTGAATATATGAAGGGGGAAAGCCCGACGAACCGTCTGAATGCAAGATAAAAACAAGCGGAAACAAGAACGATGTTCTCGTGATCGAAATATGAACGAATCAAAGGTTATGTTTCACAACGATCAAATGCCTCGACTGACTAATTAAATACATGTTTACACTGTGTAAATATCGGAAAATGGGCACCGCTGTCTTAACCCTTTAATGTTAATCAACGTTTGCATTTACCTATCAATGATAGGAGGCATTTTGCATGGGTTATAGAGCCAACATAGGGTTGTGATAACCAGACCCATGTGACACCCTTGCCGGGTCGCTATGGTTTGCCAGTGCATTTCAAATGGACGAACCATATCAGTCTGGGTGGTAAGAAATTGGCAGTTTTCCTTTCATACCCTATATCAACCCCAGTAACCCAGATCAAACAGAGACTTTTTTGTATTTTGGACACTACGCACACGCATGGACATTATTATGATACATTTTCCTATATTACAATCACCAACACCTAAGTTTACACTGAATATAGCATATGGATGCGATATAATCAACACCTAACCCCAACACCTCAAAACTGACGAACACAACAGTCAAACGGCTTTTCCCCCGGCTGTGTTGATTACGTTCCACGGGACGTTGCATGTGTGAATAGTGGAATAAACGTTCCAAAATTAAAACAATAAACAACACTAACAACACACCATAATCATTACTGAGTCATCTAACTTACAAGTGGTAACTCGATGCCAGTTTCCAGATGTTTATTGATTCTACGAAAATGTTGCCGAGAGTTTGACTTCCTGTTGGAATTGTCAGTCACACTAAAATTAGAGTATACTCGAATCTGATTGGTTGGTTAACCTTACAGTATGATTCCAGCTATCGTGTCTCGGAACGCTAGGCGATTTCCGATACGATGTCTACATGGCCTAGATGTTGTCTTTTATAAGATAACATTCCCTCAAGTTTTAGAATAATCTTCAAAAGTTGCTATTGCTCGATGGAGATTTAAGCTAGGTATGGCTAATAAGACAGTGTCATCGGCATACAATAGAACAAAAAGTGAAACAGCGTTTGTTGGGAGTAATTAGCTATTCATGTAAAAGTAATATGCCTACATCGGAACCTTGAATAGAATGCCCGAACTAAGCCTACTGTCAGAAAGAACTGTATTTTGAACATGAAAATTCAGTGTGAAAACTATGCAAGTTAGTAGGCTAATGCTAATAAGATAATGGTTCTTTAGAAAATACACCTCTTTAGGGTCAACATGAGTATTCACTAATATTTCTTACTGTGTATGCAGGCATCGGCCGTGGGACCTCCTTTGCTACTACAAATGTAAACATTGGCTACTGGTTTCGAGAGGATAGCAGCATAGCCTCTGGGTTGACGACAGCCGGAGTTGGGGTCGGAATGTTGATTCATCCTCGTCTAGTCCAGGCCTTTATTGACTGGTATGGTATACATGGAGCACAGTTAATGATGGGAGCCGTCTCATTTCATACTTGTATATGTGGTCTTCTTCTACGACCTTCTTCCTTTGAAAAAGGGAGGCATAATAGAAGTGCGGAAGAAACACCTTTACAGGTATCTGTTCCCTGTGCGGAGAGGATGACTGATGCCATTGCACAGATGAAGCCAATATGGACAAATGGCCCATTTTTATTGTTCATGACTGGAGTGTGTTTATTCAATACGTCATTCCTTGTGATAAGTACGTTCATCCCTGATTACTTCAACCTTAGAGGATCCACACACCAGGAATCAGCCATGGCAGCGTCTATTATTGGATGTGGAGGTCTTTTATCGCGTGTTTTGGCCGGTGTTATGACAAACGACCCCAACATCGGCACAATGCTTCTGTTGTCAAGTAATTGTGGAATTTCCGGCATTCTAACATTACTCCTGCCATTACTAGCCGGTTCAGAGGCGGGGAGATACATATATTCCTTTTGTATCGGTACATACCTCACCTGTATCTATGTCGTCTTGGGTCCTACTACTCTCCAGAAAGTTGGTCTGCAACATCTAGCGTATGGATTCGGATTCATGTTTCTAAATACTGGTATTGGGAACCTGATTGGCCCCCCGATTGCAGGTAATATAACACTCATAAGTATTGTTACAGCGGAAACCACTTCAATAGGTCACTTACACACCGGCAGGAAGTCGGACGGCGATTCTTAATTGTAAACGAAGTCGTTTTTGAGGCAGCGGCTGTAGCCGACGCAACGACTAACCGTTGATTGACCTTGTCGGACAGGTTTTGTAGACAGAGGCATTTCACAACGTGGTGCAAGGCCAGTGACCCATGCACGTGGACATACGTCAGATCCGGCGACGTAAGGAGGTGTTAATGGACTTTAATGATTACGCCGAAATTTTTCCTGAATATATTAATGACACAGGAGATAGAATGTGGGTGCACTTTTGAAACAAATTGAAACAGTTAGGAATTTTAGATCAATGGCGTCTTACAGAAACCTATTGAAGTGGTTTCCACTGTGGCAATACCCCGAACGCCATGGAGCTTTTGTCCCCAACAACCTTAAGAAATTGTGATACGACACATAACAAAACCAAACTTGTGTTTAAAAATTGTGCTGTGGACTTTCAAATAAAAAAATCAATAGCAGTATTAAGGTCACCAACTTAAATACATTCTATTTTGTTTATATCTCGGTATGGTTGAATCAGAGAGTTTGGTCAAAAAAGTTTACCACTTGGTATTATATTTACTAGATCATTATCATGGTTTCGGCATACAATCTAAAGAAATGCTGCTATATACGCTAAATGTATTTTGGTGTAATTTTGTCTTCCTACAAGCTAACCACTTCCCTCATAAGTTAAACTTCAAAATATCCTACACTAAAATTAACAAAATCTTATCTAATTTGGAGTGTGGGAGTGTGAAGATATTGGAAAGTATTTAAATGTTTGCCTGTAAAAGGTTTCACATTAAAGCTTCAGTCCTGAACTTGGAGATAATGTAACAGATATACCATGTGTATGTCTGCAGTCAAACGTGTCATCATAATGATGATCTACTGAGGAAGAAAATACATGTCTTACATCCTGTGTTTAAGAAAATGATATATTCTTCCAGGTTTGGGTTTTACTGATGGAAAGATAAATTGTGTTTCGAATGTCTGACATAGTGTATTCTGTATGGAATTTGGCTGTATTCAGGAGCAGCAAAGTGTAAATAATATTTGCCATTAGTTTTTGGTGCGGTTAAATGTCTCATGAAAGTTAGATTGGCCTGCAGCTATACTTTAAAGTTCCGCAGCAATATAATGTACACGTGTCTCTTTAAAGGTAACTTTGTCTTAGAATTTTGCTTAAAATGTATCTCTACTGCTACATTAAGGACCGCTCTTGTTTCTGTGTCTTTTTTATAATTTGCTTGAATCCTTCGTAAAAGTTATTCAGAATGTAACTATTCTTCAACCCTGACGTAACCTATTTTCGACGTCCGATTTTATCGCGATATACTTTGAGAACACGTGCAAGGTCGGAGGTCACAAGAGATGTAAGCAACTTTGTATCAAACATGGAAATCCGGAAGGTAAGCACAATTTGACAACAAAGAAAACAATGTAGTTTAGACCAGTCTTTTTTCTCATTATCAAAATTGTCTTGTCACAAATGACAGTAAATTAAATCTTATCGAGACATCACCAACTTTGCTTGTCTGGTACATAGTCCAATTCTGACAACTGGTAACGCCTAGCTGCACGTGTTGCACGTTTTACCACGAGGCGGCTGCGTTTGTTGCAGCGGCACCATTACCTGCGGACTTAAATATGATCGTAAGATTAATGGGCATATATGGTTGCATTTGCAGATAGAGGCGCCTACCATGTGTGTCATACAGTCAAGACATTTGCATTGGCATTTGATTTAGTTATCAATGAAAATGTACCGGTACATCGTGCAACCAAACGTTGAGGCGTTCACATCACAACACTCAAATACCATGATAGGGGTCATGTTGACACTGACACGTCGTTCAGGTTCTGGAAACAACACTGTTCAGACCACAAAAAGAGTCGGCCCTTGCTGACCACATCAAGATCATGAGCGACATCAGATACGGTGACACTGGACAGGAAGCCATTAACTTAACGACCGACTATGGTGCCCATCTTTGGATACCCACAAGGATATGTCAACCCCTAGCAGCTGCGTTGGGTCCGTCACATGCCAGATCTGCTATTCAGGAAGCAGCTAATATTTTTTTTCCGAATTTACCAAAACAATGACCAGGTACAAGTCATCCACAACATTCATGAAAAGGGGCTTCCAACGGCTAACACACCACCGATGCTCATATCATCTTCCGTTTACAAGACCCAGGCCGTTACTACCGGTAACTCCAAACAGTTACCATGACTCTCAGTGCTTCAGGGAATTCTTTTCTTCCATCCCATTTTTTTTCTGGTGCATGTGTGCGGGGTGAGTTGATGGAAGGAAATTCACTGGGAGCTGTTGGCACCGTGTCTGAGACTGGCTGGCCAAACTCTGATATCTTCTGCCAATACAATGTCATGACAAATCATTTAACTTAGGTGTTCATGAAATATGTGCCAATGTTGTACTTTTTGTCTTGAATGATAGTCATAAATCCAAATATCTCATGGACTTATTCAATGGGTTAAGAAAAACAACATTGTTTTGTATGCTTACTACCTGACACAAGCTACCTTCTCCAACCTTGGACATCGGATGTAATATATATAATGGATCCTTGGAAAAAGATTGAAACTGCTACGTTTCACAGATACCTCAGTGAGTTTGGAGGAAAGTCCATCAAAAGATATTATCTCGCAAGATCGTCAACTCAACTGTACTAAACCACAAAAGAAACGTCACCATGGAAAGATAAATGAGAAACCTTATTTGTCCAAACACTGTAAACATACTTTGAGACATATAAAAAAGATGTAACTTGGCAAAACTGATTATCAAGGTTGAAATTTAAGTGTCCAATTTTTTTGAAGTGAAACACAACACTAGTCTCTGAGAAAATGCATCACAAGTCAGTATCTCGTGTGTCCCCCATGTGCATTGATGACTAACGTCGATACGTGGAATGGATGAGGCGGTTGATGAAGGCCATAGGCACTTGAGCCGGCACTGAGGAACGCCTGACGCAGTTCAGCTGCAGTTGTCGGCCTTGGTCAGACGTCATTCAGCCGTCTTTGAATCTCGTCCCACAGGTGCTCAATGGGATTTAAATCGGGACTGTGCCACTGCATGGTTCTGATGCCATTCTGCTGGAAGAGGTCTCTTGTTGCTCTCGCAGTGAAGGCACGGGCGTTATCATGCTGAAACTCGTGGTTGCGGCGACGTGCCAAATGAGGTATGGCGTGTGGTCTCAAGACTTGATCAATGTACCGAGCTGCTGTGACACCATTAGCTTTCCCTGGACCGATGTTCTGGAAGACCACAAGGCCGACCCTCTTTGCAAGATCTATTCCACCCCACACCGTGATGCTCGGACCAGCCCCCGAGTCTCTCTACACAAGCATCCGAAGTTCCCCACGGCGTCGCCAAACTCACTCTCTGCCATCTGCTGTTGAGATACAGTAACGGCTCTCGATTGAGAAGAGGACTCTTCTCCACTGCTGAAGGCGCCAATGCTGGTGCTGTGTTGCCCACTGAAAACGGTTCCGGCGATGACGTGGTGTCAGAATGGGTCCTCGGTGTGGCCTGTGACATTAGAGGTATCTGCTCGTCAATCGTCGATGCACGGTGACCGCACTTATGTATCGCGGGTGTGTCCCCATGGTCTGTCGAGCAGTTTCCGCAGCAGTAACAAGGCGATCTTGAAGATGCTGTCGCAACATCTGACAATCCTGACGTCAGGTGGTGACCCTTGGTCTTCCACTACGTGGTCGGTCATCTGTAGTGTTTGTCGTCTGGTACCGTTGCTGGAGCCTGTATATGGTCCTTACGTGGATTTGAAATGTATTGGCTACTTGCCGGGCGGTTTGTCCAGCTTGCAATCGTCCAAGGGCTTGGTGTCGCTGATTTCTTGTCAATCTTGGCATGTGGTAGCAATCCAATAACGAATGAATCTTATCCGATCTGGGTGGCTTTTTAGAGGGCAAGAAGTGGGGGAACGTATGTGCATTTCAATTTGCACGGGACTCACCGTTGCCGTTGCCATGGTGCGTTTGGGCGATCGGTTTTATTGTCATGTGCTTTTTATTTATCATCAAATTTCATTTTTCCGGACAAGGTAATGTCAAATTTTAGAAACTTTGACAAAAATTACCCAGATATTTAAATGACAACCTTTTATGCAAGGTTACTTGGGGTGACGTTTCTTTTGCGGTTCAGTATATAATATGCCACACAACTTATCAGCTTTCCGACGATCGGGTATATTTCCTCTTAACCCAGACGTCATCACCGATATTCCCGTGACTCACTCCTTATGACCAGTCATCATCCGTTACTACAGAATACAGCAGCTCGTCAGTTTTTGGAGAAACGTGGTTGAACTGTTTCTGAAGATGTCCATGTGGCCATGGTTCGAAAGTCTGTCAGGAAGATTGTTAGCGTAGAAACTCATCACTGATGATTATGTCACTGCTTGAAACGTACAGGTTAACAACATACGGAGGCAAGGAAAAAACACAAAGGGTGGTAAAAAAGGGAAAGGGAAAGCTAAAAGATCCCATTTTCCTGTTGAATCATTTTCCGAAGAGTGTTACAGGCAACGGTGAAAAATGTGTGGAATATTAACCCCTCACTGACGTAGGCAATGTAACAGTCATGTCAACACTGAGTGCACTTGAAGATTTGCATGAGCGTTCCTGTGGTGCACCGGCATGTTGATCTCTTTTGTCCCACGGCCAGCCAATCCTACATTCCAAGGGGTGATTATCAATACTGATATCTAGTCAACCATTAATTGTAGACATCAGTCAATACTGACAGCTAGTCACCCATTGAAGGTAGCCATCTGTCAATATTGATAACTAGTCACTTATTAATGGTAGCCATCAGTCAATACAGACAGCTAGTCACCCATTGAAGGTAGCCATCAGTCAATATTGATAACTAGTCACTCATTAATGGTAG